CTCCTCGGGAGCCCTCCTCCCCTCCTCCTCTGGCTCTGTTGGGGCTGCACCGTGGAGCTTAGACAAGACCGCGAGGGCGATTCCTGAAGCCGGGACACCTCACCCTGACCACTTGCAACAATCATCTGATAAAGGACAATCAACTCCCCATCAAACAGGCCAGTCAAATGGGAACGCCTTTCAACAGCTTCAGCAAACCGACGGTCACCTGTATGAGCCGAGGGACGCGAATGGTAACAACTCTAAACAGGAAGACCTGAGATGTGACATTTCTCAGGAGGAAGACTCAGACAGTAAACGTCATCTGGATGAGGATGAGGCTGAGCCTGAGCCTGAAGCGGTCCCCAGCATGCTTGAGATTGCCGTTCAGAGTGCTAAGGCTTACCTACTGAAGACCAGTAGCAAGTCAGGCTTAAATCTGTAAGTCCTGGAGGGAAAAAGAGAGAAAAGTATGGCAAAGAAAAGGAGGTGTGAGTATATCTGGGTGAGAGTGTGTTTCTTTGGGGAAATACCTTTGAAAAGTCTGTATTAGTATGAGTTGGTGGCTTAATAACTCTTTGCACCACAGGCCTCAAAATAGGTCATTGGTGGGGATTCTTCTAGTTTCTTTAAAGACCCTTGGCGCAGAAAACAAAGCCTAGGAATTATGGAATCTTGGGTGTGAAAGAGACCAAAGAGATGGTGAAGTCCCAGCGTCCCTTCAAGAAGCTTGTAACAGTAGCTTTCTGCCAGTGACGGGGAGCACCTGGCTCTGCTGTCAGCATCAGAGTGCTCGCCTGGCTTGGTTTTGAGTTCTCACCAGGCCAGTCCTGGGTGACCAGTTATCTGTTTTTCTGGAACTATCCTGATGTGAGCGCTGAAAGCTCTGCATCTGAAGAAACTGCTAGTCTAGGCAAACCGGGGGAATTAGTCACCATAATTGGTCTAAAGAATAAAAAGTTCATATTTAATGTGTGCAATCTCTCACAAAACTCAAGATTGACTATTTAAAATGTTATTTACAAATTACTGTCTTAAACTACAATTTACTTAAGCTTTAGGGATGTGATCTGCTGCTCAGTTAAGGTAAAAAAAAAAAGAAAAAAATGTTAATCACTTTAAAATTTATAACTAAGAGATTTCAATCTCAAATAAAATGTGAAATGTTCCCGATATAAAATATGTATCTATGTTTTTCTTTAATACTTTAAATATTCATATCATATTGGAGATATTTTTGAAGGAAAATTCTAGAATAGGTTTTTCTGGCAGTGGAAGTTACCATGTTTATTCACTTAAAATTTGTGAAGGTTTTGAGTTGTTGAAGTTTCCTAAACACCAGCTCCCTGAATCTGCATGAAATGCTTCTTCAAACGCTTTTGACATGGGTTAACACCTGGAATTTTCTCTTTTTGGATAGATATGACCATCTTTCTAATATGCTGACCAGGATCTTAGATGAGCGTCCTGAAAATGCTGTGGACATCATTGAAAATATTAGCCAAGATGTAAAGATGGCACATTTTAGTAAAAAACTAGATACACTCCAAAATGAGAATGAGATGCTTCCAACATATGAAATAGCAGAGAAGCAAAAGGCTCTTTTTCTCCAGGGAAATTTGGAAGGAGCTGACCAAGAACTGGAAGATGAAATGGTAAGTCACTACTGTAAATCTGAATAGTGCAATCCTGGGGTTTGATTGGAGGTGAGTGGGTGTGGCTCTAAATTCATATCAATAGTTTCTTCTGGCTTGCTAAATAGTACTTTCAACCTCATTTCACATCACTCATTTCCTTGTTTAGTTTTTTTTTTTTCACACTTGTGGTTTAGTATCGCACAGGCTTAGCTATTACATGTTTGTGGGGCTGAGGTATTCATGTCAGAGAAAATGGTGGCTTCATCTTTTAAATTCCAAAGTGCCTGGTACAGACCTGGGCCTACAGCTGTTTCTTATTAACTCCTTGTTGAATGAATGAATTACTGTCAGATGATCATTTAACAGGCTTTAAATCAATATGCATATTTCCCTTTAGTTTATTAGACAAAGTAGAAATACTTCTAATGTCATTTTCATTCTCTTCCAAGGCAACTTCTTCATATTATGTCTTGATATTATGCATATTATGCCAATGAACTATAATAGAAAAGGAAAGAGATCAAATGTCTTTTAATCCCCAGAGACAAATTGTTGAAAATATTTAGAGAACATTGGTGACAGAATTAAAAAGCTATCATTAGAGAATAAAATCTGTTTTATCACAGATATTCTAGCTGCAAATATTTCAAAATAGTATCCAGTATTGTGTTTCCAAAATGCCTACATGACTGTAATTTATACCACCAAGGAATGTATATACCTACTGAGCTTTCATGTTTTGTTATCACTAGACTATATAAAAATCTGCCTATATATTTGCAAATTAGATGTTTAGAGTGAGATGATTTCAGTAAAGGGCAAAGAGTTTGATTAGGGAAAAGACAGGAGGGTTGAGAATCTGGACCCACAGGGCTTGGCAACCTTGGTGGGGAGACCCAACTTGACACAGTGGGCCCAGGGTACCCAGAGGGAACAAGTGATCGGTGTTATGGAACTGACATCAACTCTTCTTTTCTGAAAATACCTTACTCCAACCATTTAGTTATATGGCCACATCCAGAGAAGACAAGTCTCAAGGCAAACAGCATTTAGGGATCAAGCAGAAGGCAGATACTCTCATGGAGGAATTTATCAAAGGTCAAACTCCAGTATGAGAACGGGACATTGGGGTATCTATAGGCACAACACTGTCAATTAGGGATCTGCGTCCTAAAATTAGGATAAGGAACAAGAATACAGTAAGCTGTTTAATTCTGGAACCTGAGCCTCTTATTCAGATTCCATAAATTCTTCCTCAATTATGTCTTCAAAAGTAGTCATGATTGAGTACTTCTACATTCCTTTTATTTATCCTATATATTACCATATATATGGTACTATATTGATTTTTGACTCCATATATTACCATATGTATATAATTATTTATGTTTATAAAATATATGGTAATATATAAAAACATATACAACATACCTCAGAGATATTGCAGGTTTGGTTCCAGACCACTGCAATAAAGTGAATATTTCAATAAAGCAAATCACACAAATCTTTTGTTTTCTGTTTACACATAAGTTATGTTTACACTATAGTGTATTCTATTAAAGGTGTAATAGCATCATATCTAAAAAACAATGTACAATAGTAACATCAAAGACCACTGATCATCTATATATATAAAAGGCTAATATGCTAAGTGTCCAAATGTCTGACCAGTTGCTATAACGTGCACTGAATACCATGGGGCAGATGCTCAATGCAGGAGCTGCAGTGACGTGCACTAGCCATTTACAAAGAAATGGCACCACAGACCTGGTGCCCACAAAGCAACACTCGGCTTCCCCCAAGTGGGACACAGGCCCTGCCACCACCCCGGAGCAATAGCCCACCAAATTGCAGCCGATGTTGCCAAGACCCCATGGCACAAAATGTGGCCCACAGTCCAGCCCGGAGATGGTGGCTGTGACTGTGGGGTAATGATGTCACAAAGCAATGCCGGGCTTCCTCTCCCTAGTGACTAGCCTCCTTGCAGTTTCTTCAGCCCAGGAACATGACTTGCTTTATAGCCAGGTGAAAACATTTTACACTTTAAATGTCTATGAAGCTTTTTCCCGTGCCTCATCTCATTTGATCCTCACAGAAGTCCTGGAGTAGGTAGATAGGAGACTCGGTCGAATCCTATTGTCTTTTCATTAGCCGGAAAATGGAGTTTTAGAAAGCTTAGAAACTTGACCCGACTGAAAAGAAGTAAGAAATAATAGACCTTGAAAATGACTTCAGGTTTTGTCACGGCACAGAATATACTAAAACACTGCTGCAGTTAAATATTTTACCCTTTATTCTCTCTGAGTGATCTACAATAATAATCTGCTTTGTGTTGATATTAACTGCTGTGTTGCTTACAATTACCTGAAAGAGAAGTTGGGGTGCTTCATTGGCCTGGAAAGAGTTTAGCTAAATCAGAAAGCAGGTCTAATTAAGCAAGTTTATTCTATATCTATAAAAGGCTAAGTTGACTCGCACATGCGCGATACATATAAAGCTCTTGCTGGCGCCAATCGCATGCATGTGTTTTGATCTGTCATTGCTGATGGTGAATTTGGTTGACACTTCTATTATAGAGAAAGGGCGAATAATAATATTAAAATATTTCTTCTAATTAATTTCCTTTCAATGTGTACGAATTCGTGTACTGGGCCACTAGTAAAAATATAATGAAAAAGTTTGAATATTGTTGGAATTTCCAAAATATGACACAGAGACATGAACTGAGCAAATGCTGTTGATTAGTAAAATATGCAGTATCTTCAGAGTACAATAAAGCAAAGCACAATGAGATATACCTGTATAAATATATACATTTACATAAGTAAACATTTTCTAAAAATATGTGTGTAGATAGGTTATAGCATATTTAATTATTTCAAGATAGTAAAGGGGCCACTTAAACATTTTTTTATAAACAGGGGATGTTGAATATTTATTTTTCATAATGATTATTACATTTTCTCTGCCTAAGATACATACATGCAATAAGATTATTATAATGATGAATGTAAAACACAATGGCAGAAGCTACATTTATAAGTGAGATGAATGAAATTTGCAAATTAATGAAGTGATCTAAATCTTGAAAGAAATGTCAAAGACATGGTGTAGACAATAAGTAGAGCTAATATCAAGATGTTTAAAAGGGAAACAGGAAGCAAGCAGGTCTCTTTATAGATAGCATGTTAACCACAGCATTTGTATTCGCAGGCAGAATACTCTCTCCCAAATGTAATGGAGTCAGCATTTTATTTTGAACAAGCTGGAGTTGGTTTGGGCACTGATGAGATTTATCGCATATGTCTTGCCCTCAAGCAGCTTACTGACACCCACCCAATCCAAAGATGCCGTTTCTGGGGCAAGATCTTGGGTCTGGAAATGAATTATATTGTAGCTGAAGTGGAATTTCATGAAGGAGAAGATGAAGAGGAGGTGGAAGAGGAAGATGTAACTGAAGAGAGGGACAATGGAGAGAGTGAAGGTGAAGAAGATGAGGATGAATCACCAAGGTCCCTTTACAAGGCCCCACAGCCTATACCAAAAGAAGAAAGCAGAACAGGTGCCAACAGATATGTTTATTTTGTTTGCAATGAACCAGGAAGACCATGGGTGAAGTTACCATCAGTTACACCTGCACAAATTGTTATTGCAAGAAAAATCAAGAAATTTTTCACTGGGAGATTGGATTCTCCCATCATCAGCTACCCACCTTTCCCAGGAAATGAGAGTAATTACCTACGAGCACAAATTGCCAGAATTTCAGCAGGGACCCATGTCAGCCCTTTAGGATTCTATCAGTTTGGTGAAGAGGAAAGAGAGGAGGAGGAAGAAGTAGAAAGTGGGCGAGATAACTTTGAAGAAAACCCTGATTTTGAAGGCATCCAAGTGGTTGATCTAGTGGAATCCCTATCCAATTGGGTTCACCATGTACAACATATACTCCCTCAGGTAGGGGCTTTGCAGTTCTCAATCTATCAGCCAATCAGCACATATGTATTAAATTCAGTATACAATGCATACATATATTCAGACTCTAGACAGAGAAAGAGGTCATTAAAAATCAAGTAAAAGCACAGAGTACTATATAATTGGCAAGTAATATAGACCTGGGATCTTCAAACAGATTTTTATTTCCAAACAGAAATAAGATAATCATTTCTATGGAGTATTGGACAAGTTATTTAAGGATTAAGATTTATTTGTGTTGTGAAACTAATTTTGGGAACCATTTTTTAAAAATTCTATTTCTATAATACATGGAGATTTTATACCAAGAACAATAAAAAAATATAATAAAAATAAAAACAAGCAAACAGTGCTAAATAGCAGTTATATAGCACATATTCTACTAGGTGCTCTTAATAGCCTTTTATATGCATTACATCATTTCATAATCATAACTGTATAAAAAGCATCAGACAATAGTGGGGTGAAGACCTGTGGGGGTGGGTGTGGTGAGGTCAATGGAAAAAAAAGGGGGATATCTGCAATACTTTCGATAATAAAGATAAATTAAAAAATAATATTATCCTTATTATACAGATGAGGGAATTGAGGCAGAGTTGAGGAAATGTAAAATAAGTAATATACTAATAAGCATTAGGGTCAGATGTGAGTAGGCATAATGGATCCAGAGTTCATCCTTTTAATCACTCTGCTCTACTACCTCATCTGCAGGTAGAAAATCTTTATACTTGGACCTACATATGAGATATTCTTATATCTTTAGATAAGAGTTAATCAGATCAGAAATTATAACCCCAAACCTCCATACCTAATCTTATAATTTTTATGAATAATATTACATTATTTTTCTTATATATTATTTATTACAAATAAGTGAAATGCATTATTTTTTTTTTAACTAAGGCACTGCTAATTTTAAAATATACCTGTTCTGTAACTTCAAGTAGTTGGCAGATTCCTGAAATATATAGTACAATCTTTTGCTTGAAAAAAACCTAGATCATAATAGCACTTGGTAAATATATGTTGAATGAATGAATGATTAAATTCCCACAGAGTGAAACCTTATGCAGATAATTTCATGAATCCAAATGAATACTCTGATATATTAAGATCTTCATGTTGCAATATTCATACTCAGGGTCGCTGTAATTGGTTCAACCCCATACAAAAAAGTGAAGAGGAAGAAGATGATGATGAAAAAAAAGAAGAAGAAGGAGAAGAGCCTGACTACATAGAACAGGAAGTGGGGCCTCCTCTCTTGACACCAATCTCTGAAGATTTAGGTAATTTTACATAAACTTTATGTTATTACTATTTATATTATACTATATATACCTATACTGTGCATATGTATACTATGTAATATTACTATACTATATACATAGCATACATATATGTATACCACATATACACATACTATGTATATTTAATACTATATACACATACTATATGTGTAATACTATATATACATATACTATGTAATATTACTAGTATATGTAGATAGTAGTATACCTAGTATATATAATGTACTATATGTATGGTATATGTGTATATATTCTATGTGTATATAATATACTGTATCTACATATCTACACACACACACACACACACACACACACACACTATAGTATATGTGTGGAATAAAGAATGTAGCTGGCCAAACCACCAACTTTCTCTGACAGAAGTTAAAGAAGTGCCACACAGGGAGGAAACAAGTTGGCTGTAGCTCTTACTGAAATGCTGAGTTATCTTGTGTATCATTCTTATCTTGCATTCTGTACACCATAGACAGATGACCATAAACACTTGATATTATTATCTATACTAATAAAAAGGTAATATGCTAATTAGACTGGGAGACCTTCCAGACGTTCTTCTGGACAAAGCCATGGTGGCGGGGCCGAGGTAGAGGCGATTAGAGGCCAAGAAGGGAGGACAGTTGTGGGTGATTAGGCTGGTGGAGGGTGGGGCCGTTGGGGGTAAGCAGACCAGCAGGGGGCCAGTTGGGGGCAAGCAGGCCATCAGTGGGGGTCAGTTGGAGGTGATCAGGACAGCAGGGGGCAGTTGGGGGTGAGCAGGCCAGTGGGGAGGGAAGGTGGGAGCAAGAAGGCCAGCAGGGGGACAGTTGGGGGTGAGCAGGCTGACAGGGGAGGCAGATGGGGGCAAGCACACTGGCACGGAGGGCAGTTGGGGATGATCAGGCTGGCAGCGGGGGCAGTTGGGGGTGAGTAGGCTGGCAGGCAGATTGGTTAGGGGCAGTCAGGCAGGCAGGTGAATGGTTAGCAGCCAGCAATTAGGACATCCTTCAAGGGGTCCCAGATTGGAGAGGGTGCAGGCCGGGCTGAGGAACACCCCCTCCCCCGTGCACGAATTTTGTGCACCGGGCCACTAGTATAGTGTATAAGTATTCAAATTTCATTGCTCCACAATGTTCATAAAATTCCCTCCTGGTTTTATGTTAAGTTGCTGATGTTTAACTTCTCTTTCTATGTCAAATGTTTTTGTGTTTTATTATTTACAAAAATAGCTTCTCTGTTACACAGTATATCCTTGTCTATGTAGGCATTAAGCTTTTGATTTTCTCATTGATTTACAGAGATCCAGAATATACCACCTTGGACAACACGACTATCTTCAAATCTCATTCCTCAATATGCTGTTGCTGTTCTCAGATCCAACCTTTGGCCTGGAGCATATACCTTTTGCAATGGCAAGTAAGTATGTGACAACTTTCAAAGTTATGACTGTGATTATTTAAGTTCTGGAAAGTATAAGTTACCCCTGAAATCTTAGGTTATTATTTTAACTCATTTTTAGCAAGATTTATTCAAACTTCTGTATTATACAGTAAAGCATCAAATTTAGAATATTAGAATAATTTAGACTTCTGCCTTTTCTGAATTATTTAATTAAAGAAGCTAAAATATGGCTTTTCTTCTATAATTATTTGAATAATTGATATTCACTTAATTGAAGTAATTCTAAGCAGTGTTTAGTTTAAATCTCTCATTATTTTTTGTTGGGTACCTTGATAAAAGATACTTAAAAATATGTATTATTTAGGCTATCATTTTCAAGAGAATTAGGAGGAAGAGGATACTAAATGCCCTTACTTCCTTGTGTGTTATACTTCCATTTCTTACCTAATAAATCCAGTGTTAAAAGCTGAGCTGAAGAGAGAGCTGAGCTGCTAGGGAAAAGTACTGGGTACTGAGAGTGGGGAAGAGTGTTTTTAAGGTTTCCCCTTCTCTCCTCTAACACCCCCCACCCCATAAGGAGGCCTTAGCAGAGGTACCCTTAGAACCCCTCTACTGAAGGCCTAGATAGAGACCTAGGAGTGAAGGCATCTGAGCTAGGAACGGAAATATGTGAAGAGCATGACAGGCCAGAGGGGCCAGAGTCCTCGACTGCCACTCCCCTGAGACTGCTGACTGCACCGAATCTGGAGCGGAGAGGGCAATTGTCCTGTGAGGCATGCTGGGAAAAGCCTTTGTACTTGCCCGTGGTTGGGCGGGGAAAATCACATAGGTCTTCAACCACAAGCCCACTCCTCCCCTAGCCAAAAGTTTGCTAGGTTGGAAACTTTTTAAAAAAATATTCTTTTATTGATTTCATAGAGGAAGAGAGAGGGAGAGAGAGAAACATCGATAGGAGGGAATCACTGATCAGCTGCCTCCTGGTGACCAAGCCCACAACCAGTGCATGTGCCTTGACCAGACTAGGTTGGAAACTTTTAAATTCTTCCTAACTCTAATGATAGTAACTTTTTTTTTCCCCCCTGAAAATAAATGATCAAAGGCTATGGTTTTGGTGTAGGGTACATTTTGACAGGGTCAGGCCCCATGGTTTTCTTAACCAGCTTAAGCTGTTCGGATCATAGAAATGCCCTGTGCTGGAAGAATCATTTAGGGGTAGTTCATCTCTAAAGCATTTTAAATATATTGTTTTGAAATTATGGGACTATGCTATTTCAAGTACTTTATCATTACAGGAGAGGAAGGTCAACTTTTCTTACTGAAAAAAATGATAGAATGATTATCTACATTTTTTTTTAACTTATAGAAAGTTTGAAAATCTCTACATAGGCTGGGGTCATAAATATAGTCCAGACAGTTATGCACCTCCAGTCCCACCACCAGCTTGTCAAGAATACCCCAATGGACCAGAAATTACAGAAGCGGATGACCCCAGTGTGGAAGAGGAGCAGGCTTTCAGGACTGCACAGGAAGCTGCTGCACTTCCAGCCGAGGAAAACGAAGAAACTGAGGAAGATGAAGATGATTATGACTAACGAAAATAAAATGGGGTGCTCAATTCAGCAGCATATCCTATCTAATAAAAGAGAAACATGGTAATTAGCATACGACCGCTACCCTTCCCATTGGCCAATTAGCGTGATATGCAAGTTAACTGCCAACAAAGATGGCGGCTAATTTGCATACATAGGCTCCAAGTGGCAGAGCGAAGCCTGGTGACGACCCAGGCGTTCTGCCTCAACGCGCTGGTGGAGGGCCCCTGGGCCTGCTTGGCCAGCGCTGCTGGGGGGAGGGAGGAGCAGAGACACAGCCCGCGGGGGGGCCGGCCCCCAGCCGCCCCAAGCCCCGCCTCGGCGCTGCAGTTGGAGGAGCAGAGACACAGCCCGCGGGGGGGCCGGCCCCCAGCCGCCCCAAGCCCCGCCTCGGCGCTGCAGTTGGAGGAGCAGAGACACAGCCCGCGGGGGGGCCGGCCCCCAGCCGCCCCAAGCCCCGCCTCGGCGCTGCAGTTGGAGGAGCAGAGACACAGCCCGCGGGGGGGCCGGCCCCCAGCCGCCCCAAGCCCCGCCTCGGCGCTGCAGTTGGAGGAGCAGAGACACAGCCCGCGGGGGGGCCGGCCCCCAGCCGCCCCAAGCCCCGCCTCAGCAGCGGGGTTGGGGGAGCAGAGACACAGCCTGCACAGGGCCGGCACCCAGAAGCCCCAAGCCCCGCCTCAGTGCTGGGGTTGGGGGAACAGAGACACAGCCCGCACAGGGGCCACACCCAGAAGCCCCAAGCCCCGCCTCAGCACTGGGGTTGGGGGAGCAGAGACACAGCCCACAGGGGGCCCGCACCCAGAAGCCCCAAGCCCCGCCTCGGAAGTGGGGTTGGGGGAGCAGAGACACAGCCCGCACAGGGCCCGCACCCAGAAGCCCCAAGCCCCGCCTCGGAAGTGGGGTTGGGGGAGCAGAGACACAGCCCGCACAGGGCCCGCACCCAGAAGCCCCAAGCCCCGCCTCGGAAGTGGGGTTGGGGGAGCAGAGACACAGCCCGCAGTGGGGCAGCACCCAGCCGCCCCAAGCCCCGTCTCAGCGCTGGGGTTGGAGGAACAGAAACACAGCCCTCAGGGGTCCCTGCAGCCAGTAGCCCCAAGCCCCGCCTCAGCACTGCAGTTGGGGGAGCAGAGACACAGCCCGCAGGGGGGCCGGCACCCAGCAGCCCCAAGCCCTGCCTTGGCGCTGGGGTTGGAGGAACAGAAACACAGCCCTCAGGGGTCCCTGCAGCCAGTAGCCCCAAGCCCCGCCTCAGCACTGCAGTTGGGGGAGCAGAGACACAGCCCGCAGGGGGGCCGGCACCCAGCAGCCCCAAGCCCTGCCTTGGCGCTGGGGTTGGAGGAGCAGAGACACAGCCCGCAGGGGGGCCGGCACCCAGCAGCCCCAAGCCCTGCCTTGGCGCTGGGGTTGGAGGAGCAGAGACACAGCCCTCAGGGTGACCTACACCCAGCAGCCTCGAGCCCCACCTCGGCGCTGGGGTCAGAGGAGTACAGACACAGCCTGCAGGGGCGCCGGCACCCAGCAGCCCCTAACCCCAAGGCCGCAGAGGCGCTGGGGCCACTGGGGCTGCAGCAGAGACACAAACCGGCAGGAAACCTGTGGAAATTCGTGCACGGGAGGAGGGTGTCTCTCAGCCCAGCCTGCACCCTCTCCAATCTCGGACCCTTTGGGGGATGTCAACTACTGGTTTAGGCCTGATCCCAGGATGTCCGACTGCCGGGATCGGGTCTAAACCGGCAGTTGGACATCGCTTTCACAATCCTGGACCGCTGTCTCCTAACCACTCACCGGCGTGCCTGCCTGATTGCCCCTAATTCGTGCACGGGAGCGGGGAGTTCCTCAGCCTGGCCTGCACCCTCTCCAATTCGGGACCCCTCAGGGCTGCTGGCACCTAACTGCTCACCTGCCTGCTGGCCTGATCCCCTAACTGCTCTCCCCTGCTGGCCTGATCCCTCTAACTGCTCTCCCCTGATGGTCTGATACCCTTAACTGCTCTCCCCTGCC